GTGGCCGCCCTTTTTTCAAGCATGGTTTTTTCCCCCCCCCCCCTTTCCCCGAGCGCGGTTTCGCTTCCCACGACCGCTTCGTGAGCCGCCGCCGTTGTTAGCGCTTGGGCGCTGCTGTTGTTGTTGTTGCTGCTGCCCCCCCCCGCCGCCCTGAGGGCGAGGCGCCCTCGACGCTTGCGCCTGCTTCTCTCGCTCTCGCTGCATTTCGGTCTCGCACTTTTTTTCCGCTACCTGAGTGAGCGAGTGCGAAGGAGTCGATGCACTGCAGTCAGCGGTAGGAGGGATTCTGCCTGCGGGGGTAGAGGGGACGTGCTTTCCTTCGGGTTTTGTCCCAAGCGGGTTTGTAGCTGTGTGGAGGGGGGGGGGGTGAGGTCCGACTTATTGTTCTCCCTGCTAGAAGGTGTCTCAGAGAAAAGCCTGACACACCGCTGTTGTTCCAATGCCCAGGTGCATGTTTGTGTCGCCGACAAACGCCTTTAGATCGGCTAGAAAGACGGTTGGAGGCTGGTTTCCGCGTAAGGCTCGCACGCCAGAGGGCATGCGAAACATACTGCAGCATACGCTCATTCCGTTCCCTCCTGCCTTGTGGCAAAAAAGACTTTCGAACTCCAGACCCTTTGGCAGCGCATCAGCTATTTATTGCCTTCATCATGGTCATGCGCAACGGGAAACAGGCTCACGCTTCAATATCTCCAGGTGCATGCAAATAACTGCCTAGGCGCGCGCGAGAAGCGGGGGGAGGGGTTACTTGATGGACCACATTTCGTTCCTAGGGGCCGTTCCTGTTTCAACGAGAACATACGTGTCACTGGCGTGCTTGACGGTTCTCTGCGATGTCTCTAGACCAATGCTCTCTTTGATGACATGTTACATGTGCCCCGTCGGGTAGTTGGTCCGTGACCAAGGAAGGCGTGTACGTTGGCACGGGTGTTTCGAAGGCACCGAGGACAGGCCGTAACGGTTTTTAAATGTCAAGACAACGGCAAGCCGGCTTGTACAGGGGCAAATTGCTTATCGAGCGGCCGGAGCACTTCGTTGTCACCTGTAGCGCGCAGAGGTTGTCGTTGTTGATCCACCCCAGCTGTGTCTCGCACTGGTCGTCTGGTAACTGATCATTACTCTTCAACAGCCTTTCCTGCGAGACGGAAACAACCCGACGAAAAACAAATGACAGAAACAGAATTGAGAGGGTGAACGGAGGTCGGAATATTTTTCTCTGTAACCTGTCTCTCTCAAAGAGGGCGTAACTCACTCGTCGACGATGAAAAATGATAAAATAATAACAAGAAACGCAATCAACAACAACAACATTCCACGGAACGGAAAGAATCTCGCCGCCACCAAAATCTCCGAACGCGGGGAACCAACCCGCCGAGCGCCGCACCTCGGACCAACCCCACAAGCAAAACACCCCCGAAAAAAAAAACCCACCAGGACCCGCGGAAACCCGCTGACCGCCGCCGCGTGCAACGCCAGAGCCCCCTCGGCAGCCTCGAGGGGTAGCGAAGGGTCGGCCTCCAGGAGGGCACCCACGATCTCCTCGGCCGCCTTCTCGTTGGTGCACCTGCACGCGTGGATCAGGGCGTTGGCGCCGTAGGCAGGGGCCACCCTCGGGCTTGCCCGCGAGGGCACCCCGACGCCCGCGACCGCGGGGCCGCGGAGGGAGCCCGGCAGCCCCAGCAGGAGCTTCACGCAGGCCGTCCTCCCGTTGTAGCAGGCGAGGCTCAGGGCGGTGGAACCGGAGGGGCACTGCTTGTTGGGCTCGACGCCGTAGCGGAGGAGGAGGTCGGCCGCGGCGACCTTCCCGTTGGAGCAAGCTGAGGCGGGACGGGATGGGACGGAACACGGGGACGGGATGAGATGAAAAGTAATCGGCCGGGATCAGGGGTTCCCAGGCCCCTGGACGGATGCGCCTACTACACAATTTCCGAGGCCGTACACTCAATGGAAGCGTCGAAGGGCAGAAACAGAGAACAACAAAGAAAGCTCTGGGCGTGCGTGATGAAAGAAACCAAAGAAGCCGTTGCTCACACCCGGGACAATTCATCGAAGCATCGTTTGTTCACCTGCCGCCAGCATGTGCCCTTGCGGAAAAGAGAACGTGGTGTTGCGATGTAAGACAGTCTGCAGCCTCTTCGGGTGCTGCTTGTGGGTCTGGGCCAGGAGCGCCTGTCAGTAATTGTTTTATTTGCGTGTACATACACGCGCACGGAGAGAACGGGGCACAGCGCGGGAGGGGGGCACAACACGGGGTAGGCACACTGCCGTGAGCATGCATGTTCACACGCTCAATTTTTCAACCACTGCTGTCTCTTCGTTGTAGCTGATGCGGGATACAAAAACAGCCCGCTCATGAAAGTGGCGAAGCCTACAATACACGGCGTTGCCCGCACGCTGCTGTTCTGTGGGCGGAAGGAGTGCAGGTCTTTGCAACCCTCTGCTGTACAGCAGTAGTTGGGTTCTAGTGCTGTACACCTGCCCCAGTCAAAACCATTCTTTTATTTACACAGCATAGTACTGCTGTAAGTAAGAGGTGAACCTTGGCCAGCAGCGTACATAGGCAAGCAAATCACCTCGAGCTTGGAGCAATCATCGGGGCGAGAGGACATGACCAGCTCGGACACCTCCCTCCCGATCTTGTCCGTTGTCTCGTCGCCGATGGCTCTGTGGACGGGAGTGTTGTTGCCGCCGCCGCCGCCGCGGCCGCCGCCGGTGGTGCTTGCTGTTGGCCCGCCTTGTTGACGAGATGATCCACCACGGCCGCGCCTGCTTCTTGCGCCACCACCCCGAGTGCTTCCTCCACCTCGGCCCCCTCGACCACCGCCACGAGAACTACCGCCATTGTCAGCCATCGCAGAGAGAGTGTAGAGATTGACGAGAGCAGAGCACAACACAAGTGCAATGACTGTGCGGGCGGGAGGTGCGGGGTAGGCGGAGGGGGGGGGAGAGGGGACGGTGAGACCGCTCGATTTGTCCCGAATCGTCACAATGCGGGCCGACTATGTAAGTACACCGGAAAGAATCGCGCAAGAACGACTTCCGCAGAGCGATTTCTCCACAACCAAGAAGCTTCCAACGCCGAAAAGGGCTGCGCTGGGAAGATCTCATCGAGATATTTCCTTGCACCTGTCGGTACTCTTCGTATCGTCTTGGTTCTGGAGCAATCGATCTTTGAAAGTCAGCCACAGGAGAAACGGCCGAAGAGCATAAAACATTGAGACTGCAGAACAAGGACCAACTTCAGAGGAAAAACTGACGGAAGCATGGAGTGTTGCCATGAACAGCAGTCGATGTTGCACACCTTGACACCTTGATTGCCTGCGGTCTGTCGGTGTTTAGCTCACTCGCAGCGAGTATCTCTCTTGCAAGCAAGGTCGTTGATAAACAATTGTTGTTGTTGATGTCTTCACATTATGAGAATGCTTGATCCGTGGTGTCGTTGGCGGAGCAGGGCACCTCGCGGGCTTGTGCTGTACGAACGAACGGCGTACGCGTTATCTACAAGAGGATGATTGTCCACAACGTTCTTTGTGTGGTGGTCGTGTTCTTTTGGTCGAAGAGGTACGCGACGTGGTTAGCAGCGCGTGAAGGAAGCTGCATCTTTGTAGTCGGCGGACGACTTTTCTTCGTGGGAAAGAGGAGCTGCAGCGCAGGTCTGAAATTGTAGAAAGTCCTTGTTGGTCTGCCCATCCTAGTTCTCCATCCAGTTACTCCCCCCCTTGCTCTTCACGACGAGAGATGATGATGTCGAGATGACATAAGACAGCCCGTGAGGCCTAAGTGCTACTACTTCTGTATTCGATGACAGAAGCCGCAGCAAGGCACAGGTTAGCACGTATCTTTTGCAGCGCAGTCAGGCACAGCAGCCTGGAATACTGAAAAAGTATTACCTCATTGAAACGAACTCCCACTTCGCCACCAAATCTGTCCGCCTTTTCCAACACAATGCCTCTGTCAGTCTATCCATATGTATTGACCGTCTGCAGCAGATCTTACCACACACGCGAGCGCACATTGTTGGCGGCCGGTCCAGATACGAGCAAGTCCTTGCAAACACAAGGGGCACCCCGCTCCCACAGGCTCCCCTTTCTTCCAGCCAGTTATTTGTCCACGGAGGGTTAGTCTGTTCTTTGCTTGGTCCCTAAACATGAGACTGCTTTCTAGGAGCTCGTCAGTTGGGGCGCTCGTCAAACAATACGTGACGCAGTAGCTCCCCACGGTGATGTGCTATATATCGATTCGGGGCGCAGTAGCACCTCGCTTTGACAGCGTCAGTTCGCTGTAAAATACTTGGAGGGAGCCAGCCGCATGTATGTGTCGCAGCAACGTCGTGCACAACCATGCTGTGACTTGTGTCACACCAGGTGCATTGTACGCCCGAGGAAAAAAAAAGCGGTGGCGCGTAAAGACAGGCCTCTTCTGGTTGGCTGCCAAACGAAGCGTTGGAACCGCGAAGAAACGCTTTGGGAGGGCGCACATGGTGCAAATAAAAAAAACTTCAACATGAGTTTATGAACCATTGGAAAAGCCCGGAACCGTCGCGTGAGAGAAACACGTGTACGCATGCTCCGCGGAAAGTACGAAGATATTGATGTCTACTGTCGCTCTTGAGTGCAGCTGTTCTCGGTGCCGCCATGAGAAGTGCTTCCCCCTCTATTTCCCTCGACTATAATCTTCGGGGGGATAGGGCCCACCACCGTGGTGGCTTCTGCTCAGGAGCTGGAACAACGATACTGCCAAAAACAAACGTGTATTTACACAGAACGTTCTACTCAATGGCTCTTGAGCTGGAGCCGTTCTCGTCGGTGGCCCTGTCGAGTCACCACCACTATCTCCACCTCGTCCCCGAGGCTGATATCTCTCTCCCCTCCCGCCACGAACGCCCTCCTAACTAACGCCAACGCTTCCTCCAGCCCTACAGCCACCACGGGCTGTTCCCGCCCCGCGCGCCCGCACCCGCCGGCCCCGGTCACCGCCTCAGCGGCATCGAGGCGATCGAGCACGGGTTGCATAAGGCTAAGTCCGCCACCCGCGCACGCCACCCTAACGCGCTCGAAAGAACCAACAGCATCGTATCCGTACACGGCTCCGATGCCTGATTGTCCAATCGGATGATGAGTTCACCGGTGCGTGGAACGTGGGGGCGGGAAAACGGACAGCTGGCTTAAACACGATAACGTTTTCGCAAGTTCACCTTGGACGGAGTGCTCCGTTAGTGTTGCACAGTGGGTGTCGCAGCAAACAAGGCATTAGCTGTTATGAGGTTTGTCGCGCGTTTCTTCAGGAGTGTCTTGGTTCAAGGAGCCTTTCCCAGACTCTAGGATGGAACTAACCCAACGCAACGAATCTTTTGAAGTGACGGTCTACCGGGACGCCGCAATCTGACGAAAAACAACACATGTTACAGGAGCACGCGGTATGCTTCGAACGAGCAAACACGAGGACGCAGAGCCTGATCTCGACAACGTTGCTGTGAAAAAAAAGCAATAGCCGCTCGCTCACAACTTGCTCCTCACGATTCCCTCCGTGGAGCTCGGGACCCGCTAATTGTAATACAGACCACTGCTCTGGACCATAGAATAGAAAGAAAGCCTTCTCGTGGAGTGACGCCATGTTCCTCGATTCCGTCGCACACGCACCTTCCTCGTCTAGACCGCCCACGATGTTGAACGTGTAAAACGGAAAGCCCCGCCGATAGTAGAGGTGCGTGCTCAGCATGCGGCTCACGGCCTTGGTGCCCATAGTCCGTCGCTGCTCCATCTCGTAGTCACGTATCAAGTACTGGGGTTGGGTGGAACAATATTGCCAAGCAGGGTTGAGTGCCCATCAGCAGCCAGCAACCACAGAGCGCTCAAGAGTCCAACGAACCCACCCCAAAGGAAATATCGTCACCCAAGAGGAATCAAAAACGAACTGCAAAACACACTCCCACACAGCTAAATACAAGACTGACGTCTTTTCGTCGGTCAGCTGGTTAGCGCGGTCGATGCCACTAAAGAAAAAACACACACACACACACACATACGTGCAGTTTTCTTCTTTTATTGCTACGGTATCTGTCTTTATCCGGAGAGTAGTGCATGACGCTCGGTCACAGGATCCCAGATCGTGGCCTATAGAAACATTTTGCGTTTCCTCCGCACTGAGACTGACGTCATTTCATTGGTCAACCGGTTAGCGCGGTCGATGCTAATAAAAAAGACACACACACACACACACAAAAAAAATGAACACCTCTAGGACTTGAGACTGCACGCGTGAAGGACGCGCAGGTGTAGCTGAGTAGCGACGCAAAACAGGGAAAGCATGGCGCGATTGCTTGAACGAATGCAGCAGCGCCCGCTGAGGACCGTCGCCCTTGTCGGAGCCATATCTAGGTGAACCCGCGGACCATCTTCGCAAAAAACATTGCGCGCGGTGCCTCTCCTATTCGTCTCGTGTGAATACCGTTTTCCGTAGGAGGTAGGTTTCTACAACCTAAGTCTTCAGACGTGCTGTCGCAACAGCTGATGAGGCCCTCACCTCCAGCAAGCGAAGCAAGCCCTGCGTGTCAGCCCAACAGCCGGCAGTCGCGAGGTGAGTGTCCCCGGAAAGGCGGTGGACGCGGGTTACGTTTCGGCTCAAGATGGTGTAGCCGTCGCTCAACCGCGAGTCCGCTGCGATGATGCAGTAGTCCGGGCCGGCCACTGCGACCACTGTCCCGCCGTTGTTGGCATACGGTTCGAATCCCGCCCCATTCCTAAGGAAAAACGGGGGATCGGACGTGGGGGTCAAAGAAACTGCCGGCACTCGGGATTGATGATGTGGTCGACCGCCGTCGTCGTGCAGCAAGCGATGTTTTGACTTTGAGAGGGGCGACCCGAAAACAAACGGGGGTGGAGAAGCGGCAACTACTGTACTACCGTCTTTGAGCCGACAGCTCCGTAGTTTAACATTTAGTTCGGACCGGCGATGAGAACACTTGCAGCCCACCTTCGGGACTCTTCTAGTCCTGGCGGTGTCTGCAGGAGAGATTCCGCAATCGGTGTTCCTTGTTGACACAGCTGCCGACGGCCTGCTCTCGCCAACTCCTGGCACAGCAAACAGCACAAGCTCTCAGCGCGCCGGCTTGCCACACATTACTTATGGATTGTACTAAATCGCCCGCGTATGCATAGGAGAGTGATACATTGCCGGGGTTAGCATTGCAAAACACGGTCTGAGGTGATAGGTCTGGCGCAACGGCAGCAGTGGCGCAGTGGCACAACCAACTGGCCATCTCTGCACACGCAGTGTTCTCTCTGGTCTCTGGTCTACAACACATGGCGATGAACTGATCCTGATGATTGAATCTCCCCTGTATACAACTGCAGTCGCGGCCCAGAAGATATAGGTTTGCGCACAGGCCAAGCCAAGGGACTAGAAATTCGCACGATCACCCATGCTACGGGATGTTTGCTACAAGAGCCCGCCAGTAAGCGGCCGGAGGAGCGTTGTGCATCGTCCTCGGTACTGCTGTAGATGCAGTACCTCGATGTCGCCCTCCGTAGTCCATGAAGGCCCTGCTGACCGTCGCCTGCCGGACGTCCACGAAGCATCTACAACTCCAGTCCCGCCGAGAGAATTGACGAGAAGAAGCAAGGTGAGGCGGAGATCAGGTCTCATCGTGCCGGCTGCTGTGTGTGAACGTACAAGCAGCAGTAGAGAGGTGCGCGGGGACAAAGTGGAGAGAGAGAAAAATGCGGCGAAACAACAAGGGGGGCTTTCCATGGGTTCGGGAGGGGGGATTGGCCGTTGAGAAAGAGAACCAAGATAGGAAATTTTTCGCCCTTGCGCTGATGGTCTGCGCTGTTGGCTCCTCCTGCCTTGCCCGAAAGCTTCGAAGCTTCGAGATTTGAGAGGAAACACAACTCGACTGGTACCCCGTGTGGGACGTATCAGGGAGAGAGAACGCTCGCGATCATGGCGATGAATATGCCGCCCCCGTCTCCGCGGACAGAGAAACGGCGCTTGGCGGTGAGACAGAAACTGCGTGCACACAAAGCCGCCGTTGGTCTTTTTTTTTTGGGCCAAGCAACCAACCTTGGTAGGTAGCAAACTCGCGCGTGCATGAATGCAGCACGTGCTCCTCTCGATGTTGTCTCATGGCACCCGATCTGTTGCTCACGTTTTCAACAGGGTGCCCCGGCAGAGCTGGAAGTGCTGGCATCTCCCTCCAAGGTGAGAAGTTGTAGGTGCACGTTTTTGGGAAATCAATCTGGCGCCAAATTCCCAATTTCAGACCACCCCCGACGGTGTTCGTTTGGCTCGCCCGCGGGAGCTTGTCCAGCAGGGTAGCCTTCGCAGACGCAGCTGCTAGAGCGTCAAAACTCATTGCATTGCTTGCACCTTGGCATTCGTGTTTTATACCTGCCGCATGATTGGTATGAGCGCTGAACACCAGACAGAAGGCCGCACACCGGCTATCTGCCTGTAGTAATAGCCTACAGGCACCGTTCGCGCCATATTTTGGGTGATGATGTGTGACGCTGCTTCCTCTCACGCCCGTGTCCTCCTTCGCTACATACATCGACAGAGAGGGACGCCCAGCAAGAACCGCTCCTTCTTCTCCACCAGCGGGTCGGACAACCCTCGCACGCCGGCCGATGTCAGCTGGATCCGGGAGCAGGCGGGCACGACGCCTCGTGCCCTGGACCGCGACTTCCTGGCGGCGTCCCCCGCTGCCGCTGTCGACGTCGGAGTTCCGGTAGCAGCAGCAGCAGCAGGGAAGGCGACGAAGCAAGCCACGGCCACGGCGACGCCGACAAAGAGCAAGATGTTCAACAGGAGGACGTGGACCAAGGAGGAGAACGACCAGCTGCACGAAGGGATAGCGTCGCTTGGCGGTCCTAACTCGAACTTCGGAAAAAATGTGAGCTTGCGGGACAAAAACAGCCAGGCAGCACGTGCTACTGTAGCATGGTGGTGGTGGTGGTGGTGGTAGTGCGTACGTGCGGTATGCATAGATGTAGACCAGGTAAAACACCGCCTCGGTTTTCGCAGTGGACACCCGCACTAGAGGAAACAGTAGTGGTAGCAGCTACAGGGTCGCAATGGTGCAGTTTGTGAGCCTTTTATGCGTAGATAGTTTAGTGGTGAACCTACTGGAACGTCCCGCTCTCAGGCCGAGACTCAATCGGAAATGCGCACCCAGAAATCACACCCAGACCAAGAACTACTTCGGGAAGATTTACAGTACGTGGAATCGTGGCGGGTCTTGACCGCTTTTTCCAAACCCAAACCTAAAGATCAAGTTGAGCGTGCGGCAAAATATCGAATAAGAGCCTGTCGTTGACGTTGCGTTGGGTTGCAGCTGGGTGGAGTTGGGGCTGCGGCCAGTGAGCCAGCCTCCTACCGGGGAAACACGATGGAAAAAAGATAGGCGAGAGGGGCGCATAACCACTGAGAGCGGTGGCACATGCCGCGGTTTATATCCTTGCGGTGCCCGTGGCTGCAGCTGCTGCTGTCACTGCTACTTGTCGCGCTGCTGATGGTCAGCGTACGAGAAGGACATGTTCCCTTGCTCGCGGGTTGACTGTGCAGCCCGTTATGCGCGGTGTGCGGGTGAAAAGCGAGCCCCTTGTGGCAACGTAGCGTGCCTGAAACAACCACGGTCTTGCATTATGTTTCCACCTTACCCTCGAGTAGATCAACTCTCCGGAACTCTGGGTTGCGGTTCGCCCAACTCTGGGTTTGAGATTCAACCATTCTTCGTTGATTTGAGACGTTAGTCCGCTATTCCGACACAGAGTTTACCTTGCTAAAAGAAGCGGTCTTGTCATCATTTCACCCAATCAAGCCGGGATTTTATGTGTTTCTTTCCGTTCCAACTCTTGGTCCGGGTGTACATTTCGGTCTAAGACCCGACCTCAAGTGGACCAGACCTATGTTGACATAACACGCCTACAGGGTAGAGCTGGAGCCGCGGTGGAGGTAAAGTCCGCCTTCCGCTGATCGACTCCGGCCCCATTCTGTGCTTTACTGCTGTCGAGGCTAACCACCTCAAATCATTGCACCTACCCGTGCCTGGCCAAAGGCTCCGTGCCATGCCGAAGGTACTTACTGGTTGCCTGAATGCTTGCAGCTTGACGTTTTTCCATCGAGGGGAGCACATAGGCAAGGTAGGCACCGTGAACGCAAACGATTGGCGAACCCTTTTGACGACAAAGCTAACGAAGGACGGACGATGTCCGTGGATTGCGTTCCTACCACATCACCTGGGCACAGCTCCCCCAAAGAGACACCAACTACACAGACAGGGCAGCGCCGTTTCGTGCATCTGTTTCTTAAGGCTCGACCAATCTCCTTGAAATGGACCGGTCTGTTTTGCAGGAATGGAACAAGATCGCCCACCACTTCCTGAAGGGCTCGCGGACGGGCACGCAGTGCGCCACCCACTGGAAGATGGTGGTGAAGCCGGCCCTGCTCAAGGGGGTGTGGTCCGCCGAGGAGGACGCCGTCATATTCGACTGCGTCGCGCGCGGGGTCACCGACTGGACCGAGGTCGCGGCCGCCCTGCCCAAGCGCAAGCCCAAGCACTGCCGGGAGCGCTGGAGCAACCACCTCGACCCGAGCCTCCGCAAGGGTCCCGGCTGGACAGCCGCCGAGGAGGTCAAGCTCGTCAGCGCGGTGGAGGCCAACGGCACCAACTGGAGCCTTATCGCCCGCCATTTCCCCGGCCGGAGCGAGGCGGTGATCCAGCAGCACTGGAACGAGCTCGTGTTCCGCAACTCTGTGGGCGGGCGGCGCGGCCGGAGCGGGATGGAGTCGGGGGGGGGCGTGGCTTGCAGCGGGAGGGGGAGGGCGAAGGCGTCGACGCTGCCGGGGGAGCCTTCGGAGATTTTCCTGGGCGACCTGGGGGGCCAGGACCTCATCGCGCGAGAGACGGAGCAGCAGCAGCAGCAGCCGGCGGTGACGCTCACGGACCGCGAGAAGGCTCTCATGGACCACGCCTTCAAGACGGGCTTGAACGCGGCGACGGGAAGCGTGGGAGTCCCTCAGCAGCAGCAGCAGCAGCAGCAGCAACAGCAACAGCAGCAGCCACTGCCTGCGGGCTTGATGGGCGCGGCGGCGCCGCCGCCGCCGAAGGGTTGCGATATCGGGTCGCTCACGCTGTCGAGCGAAGAGGACGACCTCTTCGCTCCCCTCACCGCTGCCCTGCTGCGTGACGAGGAAGGCTGTGGTGGGTGCAGCCCTTCGGGCATGCCGCCACCGTCGCCGACTTGTTCCCCGCTCAAGGCGCACAAGCAGCAGCCGGACTACACGTCGATCGGGGATCAGCTCGGGGACGGCTGGGTGGTGGACGACGACCCCGCGCTCGCTGACCTCTACAGGAGCCTGGACAACATCGGCGAATCCCTGTTCAACGAGGACAACTTCGAGCTGAGCTTCGACTTCGACAACGTCGGCAAGCCCGCCCCGTCGTGCGATAGCGGCCTGAGCTGCGGCCAGCAGACCAACCCTTCCAAGAGCTGGGATGCTCCAGGCCTTCTCCCGTCGCAGGAAAAGAGCGGGTCTCCGTTCCGCCAGGCCGCGGCCAACGCGGCAGCAACCTTAGGACGCCAACATTCTCCTGCCAAGCGCGAGCCACAAGGGCCATCAAAGGGGAAGGAGCTTGAGGAGGCGTGCGCGAGGGCCGCAGCCGCTGCTGCCGCCGCCCGCCGCGGCCGCTCAGGCAGCGGCCCCGCAGCCGCCAACGGTTTTGGCGGCGGCGGCGGCGGCGGCGGCTGTTGCGGTGGCCCCAGCGCCGGCCGCACCAATCCCGGAGCCCGTCGCCGGACCTCGCGTCAAGCAAGGATTCCTCCGACGACTGCTGTTCTCGGCCGGCGTGACGCCCACGAAACAGAAGTCCCAGACGCCGTTTTCGACCGTGCGTGGCTGTCTCTCGGAGGCGAACGCACCGTCGCCGCCGCCACCGCCGCCGCCGCAACCGTCCGGTTCGCCTGTTGCGGCAGCGGGGCCGGGCTCTCCGGCCGGGGGCGGAGGGGAGAACCAAGTGCCGAAGAGAAGGGGCCAGCCGCTGTCCATCGCGCTGTTCGCTCAGGACTCGGTGTGGTCCACCGAATCCGGCGACAACCGCAGAGCGGTCGCGCCCAGCCTCAAGCACGGGAAGGCGGAGGTGAAGATCCCGCGCCCGCAAACGCCGGTGGCAGGCGCGCCGCTGTCGTCGCTTCCGGCCAACAGATTAAACTGAGACGTGCGTGTGGCTTATCGTGTCTCTCTCCGGCACAATGTTGTGTGGTTTCGTTGTATCCTTGCAAGAGTATTTTTGCCAGTTGATTTTGCTGTTTTTTTTTGCCCGTAGTCACGACCCCTTCGTTTTTGGTATGTTTTTGCTGTTTAGGCGCGTTTGAGGTGGGGGGTGGCCTTGCTTGCAGAGGACACCCGTGATGAAGGGGAAGATGAGGAGAAAATTGAGCCAGAAAGCTGGTACACGGACGGAACGTGTTGCAGAGGGCTAGGAACAGCCACACTCACTTCTGCCGCGAGAGGTTGCGGGGCTGGGGGGGGGGGGGCAAAAAGATGGTACCCGTGGGGATGAACCCCTCTTTCCAAAACAGCAGGATTTCAAGGTTCTCGCAAATATTCTGCGTGTCTGGAAACCCAAGCAAGCGGGAAAAACCATCCCCCCC